CTATGTGTAAGTTTGCAAATAAGATAACTACCATGAATAAGCACTTACTATAGGCCAGGTATCATGCTAAGCACTTTACCAAATTTCTTCATACACACGCACACTCTTCTCTCACATTGATCCCAGTACAAACTATCATTCCCATTTTATAGATGTGGAAACCAAGGTTCAAAGCAATATGCCCAAGGCCATGGGGCTGGTGATAGAACAAGGGTTTTAAACTCAGTGCTGGCTGATTGTGGTGGTTCACACCTGTAATCTCAATAGATGCAGAGGTCAAGCAAGAAAATTTCTTGAGCCCAGAAATTTGAGACCAGTTTAAGCAAAATAGTAAGACCTCATCTCTACAAAAAAAATCAAAAAATTAGCCAGGTGTGGTGGCACACACCTGTAGTCCCAGCTACTCAGGAGACTGAGGTGGGAGGATCACTGATCCCAGGAGATCCAGGCTGTGGTGAGCCGTGATCACGCCACTGCACTCCAGGCTGGTTGGCAGTGTAAGACTCTAAGAAAAAATAATAATAAAAACTCAGTGCTGACTCTAAACTCTGGGCTATACAACATCTCAAAAAGTAAAATGATCTAAAAGAGTTATTTAGCAGAAAAGGAAGTGGGGAGAGATGATGATGCAGCAAGGCTTCAGAGGAGAGGAAGAGGGCCACTTCCTCTGTTCAGGAATAGGCACCTACGTGGGGAAATATGGTGGCAGGAAGAGAGAAGTTGAAGGCAATCAATCCAATTGCCCCTCCACCATTCATTATGAAGCAGGCCAGTTTATCTGTTGAGAGGGAAAGGGACAAGGAGAGTGAAGGAGGCTTCAGGAAAGGGACTGAGGTTTGGAGCAGACCCTGTGGGAAGTTGGATAGGACAGCGACTGCTAAAGATGCCCTGGCAGCACCGAGCACTCAGCTAGAGTTGGAAATCATCATTTTGCAGATAAATCTGTCAGCAAGGATATGTGATTTGCTGCAAAAGTGCTCAGTAGGCCTAGACCATGAACTAAGGAAACCAAGAATGGGCTAATCTAGGACTCAAAATGGCCAGAGGAAAGGCAGTAATCACTAGGGCAGGAGAAGTGAGGATGGTGGTTAATGTGTGTTTGAGGTGACTGATCGGAGTCTGGGCCAGGGTGAAGAAATGAAAAGACAGTAAATAAGATGAAGGGATAGAGAAAAGGAAGGAGAGAACTTGACAGAATGAAAAAATATATTTAATAAAAATGTAAAAACTGGGGTTTCAAACACAGAGTAAGAATTTCAGAGTTCAAGATTTCAGGGGTGGAGCAATTCTGTGGGTTAAATTCCAGATGTGGACTTGATATGTGGCTTTGCTAAAGGGCACAATCATTGGAGTAGGGATGGTCCAGAAACTGGAAGGATAGACCATCTTCATCATGGATGCTGAAGCCCTGCCAGGAGAGCGGTAGAGATTAAGGTGCCATGGCTCGTTACTGATCTTCTCAGATTCATGTAACCGTTAAGTGGCTAAGCGTGGTGGCTCACACCTGTTATCTCAGCAATTTAGGAAATTGAAGCAGGAGGATTGCTTGAGGCCAGGAGTTCAAGACCAGCCCAGGCAACATAGTGGGATCACATCTCTATAAAAAACATTTCTTAATGTTTAAAAACTGGTAAGTATGTCTTCAATTAAATCACTGGTTTAACGGAAGAAAGGCTTTTGGCATATCACTATGACATCTCCATGCTGACATGGATCTGTTAAATGGCATCTGAGGAGTCAGAGCTTCACAAGTAAGTGGGGCTATTCTTACTCACAGCAATACTGCCCTTCCCCAGGTTCCTGCCCCTCCCTTTAGTCTAATCTGGGGAGTCAACCTCCATACTAAGTATCTGTCTTCCTTTGACTGAAAATATCTGTACTTAAAGGCCAGGTGGTGGCTCAGCCTGTAATCCCAGCACTTTAGAAGGTTGAAACGAGTGGATTGCCTGAGTCCGCGAGTTCAAGACCAGCCCAGGCAACTTGGTGAGACCTCGTCCCTACAATAAATTCCACTGCATTCCAGCCTGGACAACAGAGTGAGACTCCAACTCAAAAAAAAAGAAAGGAAAAGAAAAGATCTGTAATTCTTGCCGGAAGGGTTAGGCAAGACCCTGTTCTTGCTATAAATGCCCACTGTTGGCTCTGAAGAAACTGACTTGAGGACAAAGTAGACATTTGTGAAGCCCAAGGCACACCACCTGCTTCTCCCACAAAGACGCATGTCTTCAAAAAGGCCTGTGAAGCCAGTCTAGGCCCTGAATGGCTCTGTTGCTTGGTCTCTCTGCAGCAGGAGAAATACCATATGGCTTTTGCAAGAGGCTGTTATTATCTGGAAGCTAAACTAACAGTTTTCTCCTCCTTTCCCTCTCCCTTTCCCTCTTTTTTTTAAATCTTCTTGCCTCGGGCTCTTTACAAAATGTTTAACTTATGTGAAAGATAAAGATGTAAAATAGGAAAAAGCAGAACTTCTCTGGTACCTCACATACCCTCTTTTTCTCCGCCTCCAATCCTCCCTCCTCTTTCTCCCCCAGCCTCCTCACCTTAGTTTCTCCACACCCTAACCCAACTTTGCCATCTAAAGGTTCTTAAGGGCTTCTTGCAGCAGCTGGAGAAAAAACCCTACCCCTCAAAAAAACTTTTTAAAAACAAAAACATTTCACTTTATTTTCTCCAACAGTATCACTTTATAAGTCTATTATTTGATGAAGACTAATGTAACAGCTTCAACAAATTAAAATATCTGGAACATTAAGACATAAATATATATGTAAATCACAGATATCTTGAACATGCCCCTAGTTTGTGGCCTTTTTCAACAACAGCTGGAGAGGCACAATAGAACCATGATCAGGTTCCAACCAGGCCTACAGTGGGTCAGAGAGGGATTAGGGTAGGTTTAGCAAAAGGAAAATAGAATGGTGGTTGCCAGGAGCTGAGGGAAGAATGGGGAGTTGGGGTTAACTCAGCATTTCGGTTTTACAAGGTAAGATGAGTTCTGTGGATGGATGGTAGCACAACAATGTGAGTCTACTTAATACCACTGAACTCCACACTTAAAAATGGTTAAGATGGCCAGGTGCGTGGCTCAACCTGTAATCCCAGCACTTTGGTAGGCCAAGGCAAGAGGACTGCCTGAGCCTAGGAGGTCGAGACCAGCCTGGGCAACTTGGTGAGACCTCATCTCTACAATAAATCACAAAAACTAGCCGGGCGTGGTGGTGTCTGTCTGTAGTTCCAGCTACTTGGAAGGCTGAGGTAGAAAGATCACCTGAGCCCAGCAGGTTGAGGCTGTGGTGATCGTGAGTATGCCATCGCACTCCAGCCTGGGCAACAAGAGTGAGACGCCAACTCAAAAAAAAAAAAAAAAAAAAAATGGTTAAGATGACATATAGGGTGCCATGTACATTTTGCCACAATTTTCTTAAAAACAAAAACAGTGATTCTTAGAATATCATCCAGTTATTAAAAATAATGATCGATCAGACTTTGCAGCAATATGGATAAAAAGGCTTATGACAGTGTGAAGTTTTCTAAAAGGGCAAAAAAATACTACATGTAAAGTAAATGTGATTATTTAAAACAAATCTATGGAAATAGTGCAGAAGACTAGCAGGAAACACACCAAAGTGCTAATAGAGGATGTGTCAAAAGGTTCGTGTTTTCTTCACTTACCTTTTCTATAGTTCAAAAAATTTTATATAGGTAAAAAAATTGTATAATGAAAAAATTTCTAATATTTAAAGACAAGGCAGATTCCTTTCTGGCTTTATATATATATATATACTTTTTAAATTTTTTAATTTTAAAAATGTAGGATACAATTCAGGGTTAGATGTACAAATGTTCATTATACAGGTATGTATTTCCTTACATCATTTCATCACCCTGGAAACACTCAGAGAAACTAAATACTGAAAAGTTATTGGTTTTTCATTTGAGGTGGAAGTCATTGTTCTAGAGAGTAGAGATATAGGATGAACTAGAAAAAATGTCTGCCCTCATGGAACTTACATCCTAGTGGGGGAACACAGCTAACACACAAGTAAACAAATAAAAAATACTAGACACTGATAGAGCTATGTATAGAATTAAAATAGGTAATATAATAAAAGACAGTTGGCCATCCATATCCATGAGCTCTACATCTGTGGATTCAATCAATCATAGATCAAAAATATTTGGGGAAAAAAATTCCACAAAGTTCCAAAAAAGGAAAACTTGAACTTGCTGCACACTGAGTACTACACTGAATCCATGTGAATAAAGTTTTGTTTAGGCATCATATTAGACATTATAAGTAATCTAGACAAAATTTAAAGGATATGAGAGGATGTGCAGAGGTTTTATGCAAATACTTTGCATTTTATATTAGGGACCCAAGCATCCTCAGATTTTGGTGATTTGAGAGAGGTCCTGGACACAATCCCCCATGAATACTGAGGGACAACTGAACTGGTATTTTTTAGGTTGGGAGATCAGGAAAGGCTCAAAGGACATTGGAGTTGATATCTGAATGACAAAACCAGAACTTGGGAAGATTAGGGAAGATAGGTAAGAGAAGTAATGCCAAGAAGCTGAACAAATATAACTATTTCCAGTTTGAGGAACTGAAACAGCCCACTGTGTCTGGGGAGTACTGGGTGGGGAGAGAATGGTATGAGGAGACACTGCCCTTCCTTTAGGAACCTGTGGGGAAACAGCTTAGGTATCACACAGAGAGCTCCTGACATCGTTCCTCTTTTGGCACAAATTTGCAGAGGACTTCAAATTTAAAATATTCTGCAGACCAGAAAATAAGGACTTCTTAAAAATAATTGATTTCCTTTTTTCCCTTCAGTTTCCTTATCTAACTGTAGACTAAGACTACAGTTTCCTTCTTTGTAATCAAAAGGACAGATAGGCAATGTTAGCCTCAAGAGAGGAAGTAGATATTAATACATAGCCCATAGAAACCAGCCCATGCTAAGAAATGCAAATTGTTCTCCAAAATCAAGGCTTACTTGTCCATCCCAAACTCAAATTTCCCAGGTCCAATTCGAAGTAGATAGCCATTGAGCCACTTAGGAAAATGTCCCTGGACTTGAGCAGAGATGACATGTGGCGTCTCCTCCACCGTAGTCAGTAGTGGTGCAATACATGGCAGACTCTGCCGCTGCTCAAAGACGGCTTTTTTCTGATAAGTATTTCCCATGTACTTCTTCAAGACTGGGAAAAGGAAACCAAATGCACAAAACATTTTTACCACATCTTCTACACACATGCCTATTTCCCAAAGACAATAATCTTATCATCTAGCAGCTTGAGGGAAACATGAATCTAACACCAAATTTCCTCTCTCCTTCCTCATTCTCAGACTATCAAACCTTTGGTTCCCCATGTTCAAACCACAACAATCCTTCTTGTAATTCTTACATTACTAATCTGCCTAAGAATTAACTCAGGACTTAAACTATGGTTTTTCTCATTTCTCATAGTTGAACAATGCTTGTCTATTTACAAGACTAAATCTACATGCTAACCCTAGATATGCTAACAACGGCCTCGTTGTTACAATAAAAAATGACCACCATTCAATATTATCATAATTATGTGAACCCCAGTATTTTGGATACACCAGAATGTGATCCCAAAGATAGCAATTCCTGTGAATTTAATTCAATTTGAAATTTATTTTATTGTAATGGTATATATATAAATGAATGTGGTATTTTCCAGGAAAAAGGTGACATAAATTAAATTATGCAGTGATATCTGGTCTGAAATTATCTAAAGTCAAAAAGCCATAAGAAGTAAAAATCATTATTGTATAATGAGGAACTAAACATTTTCCTTATTATTTCATACTTACTGAGTGTTCCCAAGGCAGTACTGCCTATGTAGAGAGGTGGTCAAATATATAATTAATTAGGTGCTATAAAATATAATCCTTTAGTTCATGAAAGTCTAACAGTGATGCAGAAGTCTACACTAGAAAAATGAGCTACACATAGGGACACTAATCCTCTCAAAAAGTGAGCTTTGTATTCTTTTAGCAAATTATTACTATACCATTTCTTTCAAATCTTTCAAAAATTTAGTTTGGAGCACATGAGACACATGAGAACTTCTACTTTCCTAAATGATATGTGACAATCAGTCCAACCTAATTCGGAGTTTTCCTGGTTTTTTTTTTTTTGAGTCAGGGTCTCACCTGTCACCTAGGCTGAAATGTAATGGCATCATGGCCTTGACCACTGCAAACCAGCCTTGATGACCTCCTGGGCTCAGGTGCACACTACAACACCTGGCCTTTATTTTTATTTTTTTTATTTTTTTAGCGAAGTCTTGCTATGTTGCCTAGGCTGGCTGATTTTCTAAACACGTTTCCAAACAAAATTTCACTTTCACCCTGAATGCTCTTCCCAATACCTATTCCTAATTCCACCAATTGTTCTAGGTCTGTCTCAAATGTTACAGTACTTCCCTTAAGAGGCCGCATAGTGTAATATTTAAGATTGTGGGCTGCGGCTCTGCCTGACTCTAGACTGCTTGGCTTCAAATCTGCCACTTCCCAAATAAGTAGCCTTGACTTTAAACCTCTCTGTGATGTACTGTGGGATGGTAATAGTTCTTATCACTCCTAAGGCTCTAAGTAATAAATGAGTTAGCTTATGTAAAGATTTTAGAACAGAATATTCAAAAATGCTAGCTATTATTTATACAGCTTTTAGTTATCAATCCATTAAGATATAATACCTTCTTTCTTTGACTAATATTATTCATTTGACAAAATTCTAGGTACTGCTGTGGGATTAAAAGTACTAGAACCCTGACATAAAGGAACTGACTGACTAGTAAATAAACAAATACATCACTGATACTGTGATAAGTGTTTTGTTTCAGCATTTTTTCTCCAAGTCTGGTGTTAGATCTACTTTGTGACAGAAATACTTGGCATTATTCCTAAAATGCAGATTCCTGGATTCTACTCTAGTCCTCGTCTCTGTGGAGTGGTTAGCAGGTATTCTTAGGCATACTAAAATATGGAAACCATAGTATTAGAGATAAAGAGGATGCTTTGAAAAGATAATGAAGGAAACTCTCAGGAATTTATCTTACTCTGCTTTTACTAGTATTATGCATAGTTATCTTATTTTCCTCTCAGATTAAAATAAATTCCTAGAGGGCAGGTATTTTACTCATCTTACTTATTTACTACATTGAACAGCCTGATTGGGCATTTGCCTGAGTAGAAATACACACATTTTAAAGTATTTTACATTTCAGAAATATTTATATGTTCATATGTGCCATACTCTATACATGCTGTTGGCGATCTACACCCTCTTCAAACTTGATATAGTACTCAATTGATATTGTCAACACTTTCTTAAACCTCTTTCTATTCTTTGCTTCTGAGACATTGTTCTATTTTAACTTTCCTGCTCCCTGACAATTCTGTTTTATGCCAGCTTTATTACTTATTAGCTGACAATCTTGAGCAAGTCACTTATCTCTATGAACTTCAGATTTTTCAATGATAAAATGGGGATAAAAAGAGATCGTTAATTCCTGTTTATGCCTGCTGTCATAATTATATATAAAGATAGTAGATGTTTTCCAAATGTTAATTCCCTTTATGGGCTCCTTTCCCTCCTTATCACCTCATGAATGTGTTCCTAAGGTCTGACCTTGGATCTTTACTCCTTTATCTCTGTACTCTCCCTTGGTAATCTCATCTAGTCGTCTCTTAATTTCACCAATTACTTCTTGCAGATGATTTTCAACACGTCAAAACAGAATTCCTAATTTTCTTCCCTTCTAAATCAATTTTTTTACCTACGATATTATACCTCCTTCAGATGAAATTCACTCAACCAACTCATTCCTCAAGATCGTTTCCCTGTCACCAGCTTCATAAACACAGCATCCCAGTTTCCTACAGCAAGAACTGATGATTCTTCTTAGTCTGAACTTACACAGCATCTATTTATAGCTTTCATATGGCCTTTTACTCTGTCTTGTGTAATAAATAAGTACCACCAGTACTCTTGAGTACAGGATGTGGCTTTTTACTCCCCTCTCCCTCCAGTATATGATACATTTCTTTTTCTTGCACACTGCAAGAACTGATTTATTTAAATTATATAATACAATCAGTATGATTTCTGATAGCTCTAGATCAGTCAATTTCAATAAATAAAATCATGCAACAATAGTAGCTAAATAGAAAGCTACAAAAAAAATTAACAGGTTTTTAAGACAGTCCCCCAGAATGCAAATAGAAAAATCAAACATTTACATTAGAACATGTGGCAGTCATTTTCAATGTAGAAAAGTCTGAATAGTGAATATTCTTCCTACTGCAGATCCAAGAGAAGCTCTAACCCTGAATCTGGCCCCTATACATTGCATAAGATATACAAACGTGAAGGCTGTTTCCCTGACGATGAGGAAGCAGTCCCCCATCTACTTTCACTTCTGGCTCTGTGGAGCTGCTGTCGGTATCTGCTCCACACAGAGTAGAAAGCTTCAGAAGCTCCTAGTAATCTTCAGGAAAGAGGTACAGAATTCTAAATATGCACTAGTAAGAAGAGGAGGAAGAGGAAAGGGCAAATCTCCTACCTGGGAGCCGGTGCATTATCACGGAAAGGAACCCTACTGCAGTGGTAGAAAGACTGTGGATAAACTGAAGAAAGATTCGAAAAAACATTTGTATGAGCAAATCCTGTGACTTCCAAATCCTCACACTCACCGGCAGTTGTAAGTACCACTAAACAGTGAACATTCACAGAGCTTCATGGGCTGTCCCTGGCTCACTGACAGAATGGAGTGGGGAGATGGATTAAGGGGCGGGACTTCACAAAACTTGTAATCTCAGTCTCATTTCCACACGTATCCCAACAATCTATCTAAAATAAGTAGCTATTTGAAACATTAAAATTAGACCACGGTAATGGTCTCCCTCTCTAAATTTTCCTTTTTTGAATCTGTCCTCACACTATAGTTAGGTCATTTGATCTTGAACAATTTCGGTATGCCACTCTTCTCCTCCAAAAGGTTCAGATACAGAATTAAGTCCAAATTTAGACTGTCAATAAAGGGCTCTACAATCTGGCATCAATTTATCTTTCATTCTTTCTCTCTGCCTTTAAATAATTGCTTCATTCCTTTTCAACTCTAATTTTACAAAATATTTTCTGACAATCTAGTATAAAAAGACCTTGTGAAAGTATGCCTTTAAAAATGTGTAACTGTATATGACTTTATTCATTTAACATTTTTGAGCACCAATGTATCAAATACTGTGCTACAAAGTAAGAATACCAAGAAATAAGGTTCAATTTCTGTTCTCTAGAAGTTTAGATAATACACTATTTCCCTTTGTGAATTCTCATCCTAGCAAAGTGACTGTCTAACATGCCGGTCTTCCTACTGCAGATGTGTTTTGTTCTACTGTGCTATTGTATAAGTTTTCCCTGTCAGAAATATCCTCCCTCTTTCCTTTTCAAAGATATGATTAAAAACCTCTCTCTCTGACCCCCTTGCCAAAGGCCTTCCAGTAACTACCACAGCACTACCATAAAGATACTTTTAACATTAACATGTCATATCTTCCTAGCAAAGTTGTAAGTAAATTTCAAGAAAGTTAAAATCGTCAGGAGTCCTAAGCCATTCTGTATTTTTCACAGCGCCTAGCAGAGTGTGACATACAACAGTGGTGCAGTATATGTTTTGATTAGTATCATAATCAGTGAAAAATAATATATAAACTTGTGAGATTTTATTGAAATGACAAAAATATTAGAAGTGTAAATAAAAGAACAATGCATATCTCCAGTTGTGAGATAACTATTCTTGTTTATGTGGATGGTACCAAAGCCACCAAGACTTTATCTTATTTTTTAAAGCCTTAAGTATTAGGCTTTCAGGTACTTTTATACTAGAGGGTCACTGTTCTAAACAGTAAACACAGTGTGACATAAAAACAGTTTCCCAGTGTTAATCATACTAAACAAAATAACCAAGTTAATTTTCTGAACCTGCAAAGGGAAGAACCAGATGCTAAACAATGCATAACAAGTATATTGCAAAATTCAGTCTGAAAGCAATCTGTTGACCTTATTTGTCATACTAATAATAAATGCTTAGAAAAATAACTCCAGAATATTTCTTCATGATGGTAGGCCAGTAGAGTCATCTTTGTATTTTTAACATTAAAAAGGTCTATAAAGTAACAAAATCCAGGTGACATGTCATATTAACTCAAATATAGTCTTCTGATTGCATTTAGTTTTCAAAATTTTCATTTCTAGTAGTTACTTTGGCGACCTCCAATCTACCCTGTGATCAGTGTATATCTCTACCAACTCAATACATTTTTTCCATTTAGCAATCAATTTTTTTTAGTAAATATTATTTTATTTCAGTTTTGTCATCCTTTCTTTTATGGGTATTTATGTTGTGTGGTGTTCATACCTTAAAATAGTCATCTGGTGAACTAAGATTTGATTTTAGGGTTTAGAAGGTAGTAAGGTAAATGTACTCTCTCTTAGAAATACCAATTCCCTATAGCACTGTTTGCAAATATGTCCAAATTTCTGATTTCTTATATTGGAAATATATGTACATAATAGACTGAATTATCTATATGATTGAAAAATGAATGCTGCAACTTTTAAAAATATGATTAATATAGTTATCCTATACAGCTATATAGCAAAAAGAAAGTTTTCAATAAAATCATAGCAGTACTTTACATCAAAAGGAGAATTTTTCTTTTTTGAGTCAGAGTCTCACTCTGTCACCCAGGCTGGAATGCAGTGGCTTGCTCACAGTCACTGCAGCCTCGACCTGCTGGGCTCAGGCGATCCTTCCACCTCAGCCATCCTTCCACCTCAGTCATCCAAGTAGCTGGAACTACAGATGTGCGCTACCACACCTGGCTAATTTTTTTATTTATTGTAGAGATAAGGTCTCGCCAAATTGCCCAGGCTGGTCTCAAACTCATGGGCTAAGGCAATTCTGTCACCTCAGCCTCCCAAAGTGCTAGGATTACAGGCGTGAGCCACCGCACCCAGCCTAGAGAATTTTTTTTTACCTAGATGAGTAGTAGAGATCTTCTAATCCAAATGCAATTTCTAAATACAATGATATTGAAATAACCTACTGAAGTCATCTTATTGCTTAAGCCAACCTCTTTACTTATAGATCACTCAACTTTATCTCATACCACGCTTATACTAAGGCTTCAAAATATAATTCATTAAATGCACATGTTGATATGGTTGATGTGTTAAAAAGCCAACTCATACAAAGTTCTGGTTAGCAATTTCTGCTTATTATTTTACTACTTTTAACACAAGAAAACAATTTGAAGCCAAAAGTTTTTTATTAGCCATATATAATAATAGTTAAAATAATCAAATGGTAATATTAATAGCAATAGTATGCATATAGCATGTTATATTTTATTATATATTTTTAAAACCAGATACATTACCTTTAAGGTTCAATGTTCCTTTATAATACTGACCATGAAAAACATTTTTAAACTATCTCCAAAACTATCTACTATTTAAACAAAATATCCTATCTATCCTAAAAGAAAAAGTATAATATTGTTGGATATTATAAATTAACTGAGGCCTCTTTTAGAAGTTTAAGAAAGGCTAAGAAACTTAAGAAAAAAAAGAAAAGAATCCATCTAAGATTTAAATAATTTACACTTATATAAAACGCACCAAAAATGTGACCCTCAAAACAAAAGTGACATAGCTCATATTAATATCAAGCTTAAAGCTTCTTTTAAAAGAAATGTAGTTTCCCCTTCTCTGTATATACATTTTCTTTAACAACTAGAGCACTTTCAAAGCATAAATGTCATTCTATCACTACTACAATTCTCAGCTTACATTAAGTACACATTTTATCTGTGCAGTGTGTTTGCAATCACTGTAAACCTTTGTCTCAGGAGCTCTCTTTTTTGGATAAGAAAGTTTTCAATAGTATTGGCTTCTTTGAAGAGTCCATCTATCTCGTCAATGTAAGATGCATCTACTGCTGCTCTCTCACTATTGGGGAAAAAAATTATATTAAACTAAATAGCTACAATCTTAACACACCATCATGGTGATGTTCTTTATTATACTATATTTGACAACTACTTCATTTCGATGGCTTTCTGTACCACAGAGCTTCATTAATTTACTAACACTCTTCAGGAAAATGTTAAATTAGTCCCACAAATATTGTTGACTACTCAAAAAGCCTCCTGACACAACAGAAAGCATATCATATAATACTAACATTAAGTTATAGACATTATTTTTACAGCCACACAAACCATTATTCAAGTGCAATGACTGTGTAGTAGTTTTCTAAACCATCTTATAACACATGATAATCTCATTAATATTCAAATTTGGCCTTAAATATACATAAATAAAATGTAAATACAGTCATCCCTCAGTATTCATGGGGGATCAGGACCAGGACCCCCTGTAGATATCAAAATTCATGGATGCTCAAGTCACTTATATGAAGTGGCATAGTATTTGCACATAACCTATGTACAGCCTCCCACATACTTTAAATCAGGGGTCCCCAACCCCTGGGCCACAGCCCAGAACCAGTCCATGGGCTGTTAGGAATCAGGCTGTACAACAGGAGGTAAGCAGCAGGCAAAACAAGAAACTTCATCTGTATTTACAGCTCGCATTACTGCCTGAGCTCTACCTCCTGTCAGATCAGCATGGGCATTACAGATTCACATAGGCACATAAACCCTTTGTGAACTCTGCATGCAAGGGATCTAGGTTGCATGTTCCTTATGAGAATCTAATGCCTCGTGATCTGAGGTGGAGCTGAGGTGGTGATGTTTGCACTGGGGAGTAACTGCAAATACAGATTAACATTAGCAGTGAGGCTTGACTGCACAGAGACCATAATAAATCATCTGCTTGCAGACTCATATCAAAACCCTATCAGTGAGTGGCAAGTGAGTTGATTTACTTCAATTGTACAGTTGCATCTGGTGACATAATTATTATAGAATTATGTATAATTATTTATAATATATTATTTATATTATATAATTATGCATACTTATTTCATTATATATTTATTATATAAATATATTTACATCATACATTATATACTTATATTAAATATCATTATCTATATTATATATTTACTTATATCTTACAATGTAATAATAACAGAAATAAAATGAACAATAGGTACAATACAACTGAATGATCATGAAGCCATCCCTCCACCCCTCCCAAGTTCATGGAAAAACTGTCTTCCATAAAACCAGTCCCTGAAGCAAAATAGGTTGGGGACCACAGCTTTAAACCATCCCTAAATTACTTATAATACCTGATACAATGTAAATGCTATGTAAATGGATGTTATACTGCATAGTTTAGGACATAATGGCAAGAAAAAAATGTCTGTACATGTTCTGTACAACCATAACCAACCATTTTTTTCCCTAAATATTTTCAATCCATGGTTAGTTGAATCTAGAAATGCAAAACTCATGGATATAGAGGGCTAACTCTATGTGAAATACATTTTTATATTTAATGTCACTCTATTATCATTAATTTTACCAAATATTTTTCTCAAAGAAGTTTACATAAGATTTAAAGTATAATGTCATCTAGTTAGAGACCAAGATATATCCAGTCCAGTATTAACTCTAGCAATTGCAAAACAAAGGACGTCTAGTGAAACAGTTGAGGTTATTCCCTAAAAACTAATATAAGGAACAGAGGCAGAATAAAAAATTCCAAAGTTTTAATTACTGGATAGGCTTTACAGCCACAGAAATAAACTTTCCATTACAAAGTTTCCAGAAGAAAACATCTGTTTCTAACATCACATAAAAATCAAAAAGGAGATACTATAAGTACTTGCCTTAAGATATTTGCATATGTAGACAACATCAGATTAATTTCCTTGCTTATATCTGTTCAAAAATAAATAACTGAATAAGTTATGAACAACAAACTTTCTACATTATAAAATCGATGTAAGGAATATAAGCGTTTTATACATCACCATTCAAATCTTTTTCTAGGGCTTCATCTTTATAAAATAATCCAGAACCTTCAGAGAAAGATGAATCTGATTTTCCAAGAGAGGGCAACTGGGGACTATCTGGCATTTGAGCCTAATACAACAAAGTAAATAGGTACAGTCAGTAAGACTCAGGACGCATATATTTTTTGTATTGAGAAAAAGCAAATAAAAATTTTTCAGAAAAAAGCAAACATCCTAGAAATTATATGACCTAGTCATTTGAAATTGTATTATCAAAGAAACTTACAGGCCCAAGAAGCACCTTGCTCAACATACTAAATTTTATTTTGTTTTTAAATTAGACTTTGAATGTGGTTTTAATCCACTGATGTCCTGTATCTTGAACCAGTTAATGCTCTCATAGGAATGTAGCTACACTACATTTACATGTAATTACACTACATGTAATTTAGACAATAGTCAAATGAGTGCAAAATTTTACATGTAATTACACTACATGTAATTTAGACAATAGTCAAATGATTGCAAAATTTTACATGTAATTATACTACATGTAATTTAGACAATAGTCAAATGATTGCAAAATTTTGCAAGATAACAATCATTAAGGAAGCAAATCATATCTCAAATGCAACAGGTCAATTGGTAGGGGCAGGAGTAAAGGACAGGATATAGAAATCTTATTTTAAAAGATCAATAACTCTAGTACCTAAGTATCTTACTTATTATAGCAAAATAATTATGTAAAGTCCTTTGTATCATAAAGGCATGGACTCATTTCAGTCTCTAGATCACAAGCTACCAAAAAGAAACCTCCCAATAGTTTCTTGGAGGTCTTAGTGAAAAAACAGCTAGTGTCAAAATAGTTCCTGCTATGTTGTAAGACAATCCTAGCTCTGGAAATATAAAAACTTTAAATTCCATTTAGCAATAGAGTTTTCTTAAATGGCAGAAATTTGAGAAGTACAAATAGTACAAAAGATTAAGGCTCGGGCATATTGCTCACCTCCGTTTCTCTAGGCCTCTTGCAGTTTCTAGTATCAGGTTTTACAAGGTGACTCGCCATCATGTTCTGGAGGCATGAGCTGTAAAGTTTAGAGCAATGGCAAATGTAGGTGCAAACTCCCTGCTACAGTTCTCTTGACTCCTTCCCTTTTCCCATTTCTGCTGCTGCTAATTTAGGCTCTCGCTATCTGTCACTTACCTAACCCCAGTTTCTCTCTTCTCTAATTTATCCTAACAGCTGTTTGGGTAATATTTCAAAGCTTTATTACTGCTTTATTACTTTATTCTTGCATTACCTTCACTTAAAACCCTTCGGTTTACTAGTCATTTGTCCAAAATAAATTGAAAGCCCCTGGTATAGCTTGCAAGGCCCTACACCCCTATCTGGGGCCAACATGCCATTCCCATCATTTTTAACTACTCTTCTGTAGAACCTTGACCAAACTAGTCTTGTTGGCACTTCTGCCTTGTTTCAGGTCTGGCTCCATCTTCACAAACCTTAATGTTGACATAAATTGCACAGTTCATCTAATTCAATCTCATGTTTTACAAGTGAGAAAACAGGGACACAGACGGCTGAACAAGTTCAAACAAGTAAAACTCTCAAACGAAATCAAGATCTCCTCACTCTTCTAGTCTGAGATTACTTCTACTGCCTGCCTACCCTTCACAGAGCATCAAATTTTACTTTTAAATTACTTTCCCATAAATTCTGAAGGCGCTGCCCCTAGGAGTCTCAATGCTGAAACCTGGAAGGGTACACGGTCTCCACATCTTAGAGACAAGGAGCCCTGTGTCAACTGACCTTATGTTTGTTTTTAGAAACTATGCTGACCTGGATAACTGTAATGAATCAGATTAGTCATATATAATACACATGCATACAAGACAAGGCAACGACAAATTAAAAGATGACTGCTTAGTATAATTCCGCATTGTACGCCGACATTCCTGCCGGGCCCTTTACAGTATACAGTAAATAACTTTAAATGCCGTGATAGTCACATGCAACAAACATGCCACACGCAGGCGGCACCGCCCTCGCCTAGGGAGGTGGAGAATGTTCCAGAGAAGCCAACATGTGGGTCTGTCTCCGCTCCCTCCCTTTTCCTCCTCCCTTTCCCTTAGACACCTCTCCCGACGTGGCAGGATGGACACACATGTCCAATGGAAACCTATAATGGTGTCCTTCCGTCTCCAAAGATACATCAGTTCACCCGTCGTAACTCAAGGCCTCGGCGCCGGAATCCAAGGCAAAGCCGGGCCTCCTCCCATGACAAATCCCACCCCAGGCCGGCCTCGGCTGTGCAATCTCAGACGTTGGTGACTCAGTGATGACTCAACAACCATCCCCTCCTCCTACCCGACTGTTTTCCTCTAGTCTTCTCTTCCTCCTCGCCGCCATTCCGTTCCCTCGGGGCCCTTCCACCTACATTTTGACTCGCTCCCGCCCCGCCCCCCTTCTTCGGGACCTGTGCTTCCCTCCCCTAGAGACCCCGAATGTGAAGCTTCCATCCTCGCTCACTTTCTTGTTTCACACTCAGCCGCATTCTCACTGGCGCTCATCCTTCCAGCCCCACCCGAAGATCAGTCCCCTTCGTGGTGTGGGGAACTTCCTCCTCAGCGAGAGCGCGGGAAAAAGGACGGCAAGCGCGATGCGCATGCGCACACGGGGGTGGGGGGGGGAACGGCGCGCGGTGCTCCCAGCAGTCAGCGCGCGAGTCATGTGACAGCCGCCCCTTCCTGAGCCTGGGTCTTTATCCCGCGCGATTTGGGGTTTTCGTGAAACAAATTGCTCCCCACCTCCCACTGTATGTTTGGGGAAGAAGGAAACATCTGAAACTGATGTCTGAAAAAAGTTACCAGAGGAAGGCCGCGGTGTGTCCCTTGGAATGGCCAGGGTACACTAAATACTACGTCCACCTCCCTTTCCAAGTAACATTTCCGGCCTATTCCAGATGGTTGTCTGCATGGAGGCTTTAAACACGCATTCCTTGGCCTGCAAGCGGGGCTTCTGGATCCAGAACCTTCATTCCTTCCCTGCTTCCTCTTTGATGCAATCACATTATCAGAATCAAGCCTTTTTAGGAAATTTCTTTCTGGATCTGTCAATAAGTTTCATCGACTTCACTGGCAGCAGCTTTTCACACACACAAAAAAATGTTTTGTAACACACGTGGCTTACATCCTTGTGGCTTAGCCTCATCGGGTGTTTCAATGTGGAGACTTTGACCTGCAATTTCAAAGATAGACATTCTAAACTTATGCCCAGTTAGTTGATGTGGAAAGAAAAAACAAAGCAAGTCACCACGTAAGACAAAGGTCAACAACACCTCTCCGCAAGCTGCAGGTACAAAATCTTACACCTCAGACTATGTTTAACACTCATATATATTATTAATGTTCTTTTTTTCCTTTTGCTTATTTAACTGTTAGTCATCCTCGAGACTTGGAAGTGTTGTGTGGGTATATCTATTTGCTGTTTGTGGAAAAGCCAGTTGTTTTAAGGAAGTCCTAGAAACAGGCACTCGGTTTAATTTGCTTTGCTAACATTGTGAAATATAGGCCATGGACTAAATGCTAGACTAGATAATTTTGGTGTTTACTGACAGTCTTATTTTTGGTTTTTGTTTTTTTGGGTTTTTTTGCTGTTAACTTGTGATTTTTTCATTTTTCTTCATGTGTGTTATTGACAGTCTTTCAAGGGTTTCAGTTACTGAGACTGATGGCAATCAGTGTTGAAATTTTTATCTGTGGTAAATGAAGGAAAAAGTAATGTTTTTCATCAAGTCAAATGTATTCACATTAATGGACCGTTCTTTGTTCTTTCTAATACCATGTCTTTCCTAGTTTTTTAATGTTAAATTTTTCTTTCATGAAATAAAAACGTGGTTTTAAAAAATTGTTAATGTCCTTACTTGCTAAAATATGAAGTTATCCACTCAGTGTTTATCTTTTCCTCATTATCATCATTACTGCTCTTATTTTTATGGACTATTAATTCCAAAAGTGTGGGAAATTTCATCTAATTTCTTTCCCAGCCTTCACATTGTATGATATCTAAACAAGTGGTTAGCCATCTGATTCCCAAAATATTTCCAGGAAAAATGTTTCCGCCTAATGCATGAATGCTTTCATCATATTAAGAGAACTCCATGGACATTTTGTTTTATTTCTTAAATATTGTCTCTGTTGTGCCAAGTGGTGAGAATAAGTGAGAACATATAGTGGTTTGTAGTTATCTAGTGCTTTAAAATCTTCAAAGGGCTGTCATTATCGCATTTAATCTTTGAAAACAACTCTATGAAATACAAAGAACACTGAGACATTTGAATTGTTCTATATCAAAGAAAAAAAATGTCCCAAAACCTAGAAGTGTGTAACTTGTGCATTCTGCATCTCAACAGCTGGAGAAAACTCACTGGTGATAGGCCATTTAAAATCAGAACTTAGCCGGGCTCGGTGGCTCAACCTGTAATCCTGCGCCTTTGGGAGGCTGAGGTGAGTGAATTGCCTGAGCCTGTGGGTTCTTGAGACCCGCCTGGGCAGCGAGACCTCATCTCTACGATAAATTAAAAAATCAGCCGGACATGGTCCGGCTACTTGGAAGGCTGAGGCGGAAGAATCGCCAGAGTCCAGTAGGTCGAGTGAGACAATAAATAAATGAATGAATGAGCCCAGCAGGTCGAGTGAGACAATAAATAAATGAATGAATGAATGAATGAATAAATAAATAACAGAACTTAGCCGGGCTCGGTGGCTCAGCCTGTAATCCAGCACCTTTGGGAGGCTGAGATGAGTGGATTGCCTGAGCGCGGGTTCGAGACCCGCCTGGGCAGGCGAGACCTCATCTCTACAATAAATCAAAAAACTAGCCAGGTGCCTGTAGTTCCAGCTACTTGGAAAGCTGAGGTGAAAGGATGGCCAGAGCCCAGCAGGTAGAGGCTACGGTGGTCAGAAGGGGCCACTGCACTCCAGTCTGGGCGATAGTGAGACTCCAACTCAAAAAAAACCAAAATATAAAAAATAAAATAAAATCAGAACTTGTTTGGTGCTCTGATTCTGATAACTGTTTGACCCCACTTCATGCTTTCATATTAATTGATATACTTGGGCACTACTATGTTTGGAGAATGAAAACTTGTTATTTCAAATTCAGTCACTTTTTTTTTTTTTTGAGTCAGACTCCCACTCTGTTTCCCAGGCTAGAGTTCAGTGGCACACTCACAGCCACCACAGCCTCGACCTGTAAGTCTCAAGTGATCTTTCCGCCTCAGGCTTCCAAGTAGCTATAACTACAGGCACACGCCACCACGCCTGGCTTATATTTTGATTTATTGTAAAGATGGGGTCTCACCAAGTTACCTGGGCTGATCTTGAACCCGTGGGCTCAGGCATTCCTCTCACCTCTGCCTCCCAAAGTGCTGGGATTACAGGCGTGAGCCACCAACCAACCCGGTATCATACACTTCATAAATTTGCTATTTTTTTTTCTTCTGATAGTCACCACACTGAGCATCTCCAGCCATCCTGTCATAGGGTTCCTTTGTTATCACTGCCTTAGACATGCTTTTATGACTTTATGAAGTGAAAATCCTATCATGTTTAAAAAACAAAGAAACAAAAACTAGCTTCTTATGTAAGCATTTTGTTTCCTAACTCCAGAATCCCTCTGTTTTCATACCATCTCTGTACTAATAAAGACACAATGCCATCTGCAGAAAATAAAGACAAAATGCCACCTTGATAATTTCCTTGCTAGCAAAATAATACAATTTAGTACATGTTCAAGAAAAAGTTGTCTACGAAATTTTGTTTCTATTAAGTATTTTCAAGGTTGTGGTATTTACACTTTTTTTTTCTTTTTTACTACTCTTTAAGAGTTATATTTAAAAGACTATTTTTACAAATTGAACATAAGCCCTGAAAATACATATCCTTAAATCATAATTCAGATATTTTAAGTCAGAACTTTGCCACCATTCCAGGAATAAAAAATTTTAGCACTGGAATCTGCAAGTAAATATTTGCTCTTTTATCAGAATTTTAGCAGCCCTCCCCCCAAATTTGCTTTCTATTGCAGAAAATAAGAAAATTAGTAAATAAAATTCTAATGATGCAGGTGGCTTGCATCTGATGTAACAAATGAGACATTTCCTGAAAATGGACTCCTGTTCCACTGAGAAGTAAATCTTAATAGCCTCTTTCCTTTGACACCATGTTGAGCTTGGAAGGGAGAAGATGTCCTGAATGAGGTCATAAAGTAAAAGAAATAAAGTGTTTTGCAAAATGTTCTTTCTTTTAAAAAGAATCATTTTAGGTGTTATGATAATATTGGAGGAATGACTCTAATAGGACTGATTATTCAGCATTGTAAGATAAGAAAAAGCTTTGTGCTGAAGTGTGACCAGAGAGTGTGAAAACAGAGACTAATGTGAGAAAAGTTGATGCTTCTGATGGACTAAGCAGGTGCCTTCTTAAAGTACTTCAAAAAGAAGCTTAGGTTTTAGAAGGGCCAGAACCCCAACTTTTACAGAAAAAAAGATTTCATTAGAATTGTGATTTTACATTAAAAGAAAGACTCATATTCTCTGCCACTCTATTTCAAGTTCTAGAAAAGAGCCCACGTTTAGAAGGCGGGTCCAAGGCGTGCCAGCAGCAGTCTCCTCCCCTCCACCTTCTTCCTCGTTTTCTCCAGAGTATTCAGCCCTCCTTCCCTGACGACTGCTGGATCCCAGCGAGCAGCAGCAAATTGTTGTCCAATGCTTTTTGCATTTCTGACTGCCTCCTCCCACTGCTAAAACTGCCCCCCGCTACAATCTGCACAGCACTGGGAAGAAGAAAGGGACCTCGGACCTTCCAGATTGCTTCCTCTGGCAAGAATCTATTTGACTCAGGTAAGAAGTATCATTCCTCTTTCTTTGGAAACCTAAGCATAGCAATTAGGGATAAGCAAGCTAGAAAAGCAATTGAGAGGAATTTAAGTTCTCCGACATCACTATGATGGGCAATCAGCAACAACATAAGGAATATAAGCAAAGTCAGAATAGAAACTTTTTTTTCTCTTTTATCAAATATGGGACAGTACCAAATTAGAGCAGAAGTTCTCAACCTTTTTGTTCTCATGACCCCTTTACACTCTTAAAAATGAATGAGGATCCCGAAGAGCTATTGTGTCTCTACTTCTTTACGGTGTTACTGTAATTTACTGTATTAGAAATTAAAACTGAAAAATGTTTTAAAATAGTTACCTAGTAATTTATTTTAAAATAGCAATAAGCATATCACATGTTAGCATAAATAACATTTTTAATGAAAGATAGTTATGTATTTCAAAAAAATCTAGTGTAAAGAGTGACATTGTTTTTCCTTTTTTTTTTTTGAGTTGGAGTCTCACTCTGTCGCCCAGACTGGAGTGCAGTGGCACGCTCCCAGCCACCGCAGCCTCGACCTGCTGGGCTCCAGCGATCCTTCCGCCTCAGCCTTCCAAGTAGCCGGAATTACAGGCATGCGCAACCACGCCCAGCTGATTTTTTGATTTATTGTAGAGATGAGGTCTTGCTGCCCAGGCGGGTCTCGAACCCGCGGGCTCAGGCAATCCCACTCACCTCAGCCTCCCAAAGGCGCGGGATTACAGGCTGAGCCACCGAGCCTGACTCATTGTTTTCATTTTTACAAATCTTTTAAATATCTGGCTGAATAGAAGACAGACAGATGAGCTGGAGTCTCACCTGCTTTGCGTTCATCTACTGCAATATCACACAGAATGTAGCCTCTGGTAAACTCTGTTGTGCACTCATGAGAGAATGAGGGTGAAAAAGACAAATTGCATCTTAGAACTATTAGAAAATAGCTTTCACTTTGTGAACCCTCTGAGATTCGCTGCTTTAGAGGGATAAGATAAATAAGCTTCTCTTTGAGAGGAATCTAACTCTGAATCAATTATATTAAAAGATAACCAAAAAATTTCTCATGATTGATAAGCTTGTGGAATCTACAGCAACACCCTTGGGCTGGGCTATAATTGGATAATATTATAGCATTCCCCACGAGAATTTTATTTCACAATAAGGAAAACGCTGAATAAATATCTCTGTTTTGAAGTCAAATAGCAAAAATGAGGACACCCTTCAATTCCTCTTTACTTTTTGCCTGTATTCAGCTATTTTAGGTTCTGTTAAATCTTCCTTAAAAATATCTTTTTTATCTGCAGTGTTTTTCTATTGCCTATGAGGTTAAAATTACTCTTCTAAAAGAATTTCACAACCTTCCATAATCTAACCCCACCTTACCTAGGAGTGTTCACTGCAAGAAAGTAACTCCATTCAGTCTCCACCACACAACATTGTTTTGATTCATGCCCTTCTCCAGCTATTCAACTCTTAAGCCTTCTTTGAGATTCAATTCAATTCTCCTTTCCAAGCAAGGTCATTCCAACTACATCAGTTCCATTTTGGCTTTTTGATTTGAGTCTGTATTTAGCAGTTAATGATGTCTTTTATAATTAATACAAAATTAATATAAAAGGCATAATTTTTAAGTCGTCTTCTACCTTCACCTCTTCCACACCCACGTACACACATTCATAATAAGATGGCAAAATTTTCAAGGACAAAATAACTTATAGAACTGAAAAGTTAGATGTTGACCATGCTGCCGTTTCGATGACTAACTACCTGATCTTCGGGATTGAAGCTATGTAGTAACATGCTCCTCATTCATTGCATGCCGAGTCCCCAGTATTGGAATTCCACAGTAATGAATAAACATAATCATAGTTGACTTTCAAGTTCAAGGCATGTCAACTTTTAATCTAGTCATATGTTTTTAAACTTTCAGTGGCTGAACAATGCTGGCTGTATAATAAATGTTCAGTAAACACCATATATGCTGTCTTAGAATTATAAAGAAATGGTTACTAGGACATTTGCCACATAGAAATGGTTTTTTGTTTTTTAGCCTTAACTAGGATCTAGAACTGCAGATTGCTGGAGCTGGAACAGACCTTAAAGACTGACTATCCAGCTTCCTTGTTGTCCAAATGTGGAAACTGAGTCCCTCAGAATTAGGTAACTTGTCACAGACAAAATTAGAACTCTGTTGGGATTCTATTATTTACTAGCCTCTGACTAGCTTTCAAAGGCTTGTATAACTAAAACTTTGTTTCAAAGAACCAATTGTCACTGCATATTCCTGAGAGGATCTTTCTGAGGTGATTTATAACTCTTTAAAAAAAAAAAAAAAAAAGTCGCCAGGCTCGGTGGCTCAGCCTGTAATCCCGCGCCTTTGGGAGGCTGAGGTGAGTGGATTGCCTGAGCCCGCGAGTTCGAGACCCGCCTGGGCAGTGAGACCTCATCTCTACAATAAATCAAAAAATCAGCCGGGCATGGTAGCGCATCCCTGTAATTCCGGCTACTTGGAAGGCTGAGTCAGAAGGATTGCCGGAGCCCAGCAGGTCAAGGTTGCGTTGGCTGGGAGCAGCCACTGCACTCCAGTCTGGGTGACAGAGTGAGACTCCAACTCAAAAAAAAAAGGTCAGGCCTGGCGCGGTGGCTCATGCCTATAATCCCAGCACTTTGGGAGGCCAAGGTGAGAAGATTGCCCGAGCCCACAGGTTCAAGACCAGCCTGGGCAACTTGGCGAGACCTCGTCTCTACAATAAATCAGAAAATTAGCTGGCCGTGGTGGCACATGCCTGTAGTTCCAGCTACTGGGAAGGCTGAGGGGGAAGGATCACCTGAGCCCAGCAGATTGAGGCTATGGTGGCCATGAGCGTGCCACTTCCCTCCAGCCTGGGCGACAGACGGAGACTCCGACTCAAAAAACAAACAAGAAAAAGTCATCTGGATGTGGTGGCTCACGCCTATAATCCCAGCACCGGAGGAGGCAGAGGCGAGAGTATTGTCTGAGCCCAGGGGTTCAAGACTAGCCTAGGCAACTTGGTAAGACCTCATCTCTACAATAAGTCAAAAGATTGGCCTGGCATGATGACACGTGCCTGTACTTCCAACTGCTCAGGAGGCTAAGATGGAAGAATCACCTGAACCCAGCAGGTCAAGGCTGTGGTAGCTGTGACCATGCTCCTGCACTCCTGCCTCAGTAACAGAGTCAAACAAAAAAAAAAAATCTGCAACTCTTAAATGAAATATGTAAAGCGTTTTTATTCAATGGGTAATTGAATATACCATATACTATAATTTTCATAGATTAGAACTAAGAAAAGAGAGGAACATGGATGAGAAAGGAAAAGAAGAAAATTGAGGGATGAAGGGTTGAGGAAGAAAATGCAATACTTGTAATCATAGATATACTGAGAACTAACAAAAAGAGTGGTAAGAAAATAAACAGCACACCTCATCAACAAGGGTACCTGCATAATCAGCGTTTATATACCTAACCCTGAATCGTATCCCACATCTTTATGATTAAAAAAAGAAATAAAATAAACAAATGAAGAGTTCACAATGAACACATGAATAAAAAGAAACTACTAGGGGAAAAAAAGAAGAGGAAGATATTCAAGAAATTATTCTATTTTTTAAATTCTATCTTCAGGCTTCCCTCACTTTCTTTCTCATTCTCATTGGTTTTCAGGTGGAGGAAACGTTTAAGGCAGGGGAAAAACAAATTTACAAGTCCCATTCCACACTGTTGTCAAGACAACAAGGTTTATCATGATGAACATTTACTCACTGAACATTTCTTGAGTTCCTCTGTATTGTGAGTTGTTTCCAGATCAGAAAAAAAAGAGTCAGAAAGAAAAGCACAACTCATTGTCTTAAACTCAGATTGAAGCTGGGCAGACCTATTTGTAATCAAAGTCATCTTAATTCAGGGTACTAAGTGCTATTTCAGAAACATGAACAGGAAATAAGGGAAAGGAGGACTCTGAGGAGGGAATGATTTAGCTAGGAACAGAAGAGTCAGGAAAGTTTTCCTAGAAGAAACATTAAATCTAGGACATATAGGACAAAGGATAAAGCAGAGTTTGGTAAGCAGAAAAGCAGGGGAAGTTCTAGTCTGGCAAAGGGAATAACTCAGGCAAAAATACAGAGTGAGGGAGAGTCTGGAAGCAAGAAAACTAAGTAGAGAGGAGTATTGAAATAGAAGTTCCCAGAAGTGGTGAGTGCTTGATTTAAAATAGTGCTGGTGAAGATGGAGAGGAAATGCCAAATTCCAGAGACATTCTGGATTTCTGTAATTAGAATCTATAGTATTTATCAAATAGGAGAAAAATTGACTAAAATAGTCAAGAAAGACTCCCAGGTCTCAGTTTTAGAAGATTACTTGGACATATTTTGGAAAGTAATTCATGGATATCTTATAGTTGGAACTGTGTATCTGGAACCAAATTAAAATGTATACATATGTATCATTATGTACATATACATATATATGTTTTATATGTACACATATATATGTATAAACCACTACCCTCACTCTTTATTTTGTAGCCAAATTTCTCAAAACAATAGTTAGTTATCACTGCCCTTACTTTTTTCTCCTCCTTCCATTCTGTCGTAGATATTTGTCAACCTGTGTTCTGCTACCTCTCCTTTACCCAAACTGTTCTATAGTTGCCAAAACTTCCTAATTGCCAAATTCAGTGAACAAGTTTAAGCTTGTATCTAAATTACCTGCAGTTTCTGATTTCAAGCAGCCCCTCCTGAAACCCCTTTCTCACTTGGCTTCAATGACACCTCTCAGATTTACAAAACAGAACTCATTATTTTCCACTTCAGCTGTTTTTTCATTCTCTTTTTTCTTAGTTAATGGGATAACTGAACAAATTGCCCAAGTCCTAAACTTTGAAGTCATCCTCTGTCCTTCCATTTTGTGTTTGACCCACAACCAATCAGCTGAAAAATCCTGCTGTTTAATATCTCGTGAATTCACT